ACAATTTGTAATAATTAATAATATTAAAAATAAATTGTATTTACAGTATATATACTCTTGCGTAATGGTTTTGCATGATTATTTTCTTTCTATCGCAAGTTTTGATCACAAAGTACGTGCCTTCCTTTATTTTTTTAATCATAAGAAACTTTGTGAGTAGAAGAGCATTTCTTTCCACCCCTCGCTGGTGGTAGGCTTTTTTTTCCTTCCACCTCTCGCTGGTGGTAGGCTTTTCCTTCCACCCCTCGCTGGTGGTAGGCTCTTTTTTCCTTCCACCCCTCGCTGGTGGTAGGCTTTTTTTTCCTTCCACCCCTCGTTGGTGGTAGGCTTTTCCTTCCATCCCTCGCTGGTGGTAGGCTATTTTTTCCTTCCACCCCTCGCTGGTGGTAGGCTTTTCCTTCCACCCCTCACTGGTGGTAGGCTTTTTTTTCCTTCCACCTCTCGCTGGTGGTAGGCTTTTTTTTTTCTTCCACCCCTCGCTGGTGGTAGGCTTTTTACACAATTCCGCAAATTAATCTCATTTAATTTTTAATGTTAATAAGTGAACAAACACTTTCTCTTTGTTGTAGATCAGAGGACTTTTCCATTTTTTTTGCAGGAACACATGGAGACAAAATCTGCGAAGTGTCAGATAACCTTATTAAGACTTGGGTGGAGGCAAAATTTCGAAACATAAAAATAGTCCACATAAGGAGACGATAAATTCCAAGTAGCCATTATAATCAATGACTTATGTGAATTTTAAAACATCAATAATAATTTTTAACAAAATGATTCAAAATTTAGTTAGGGCCATTTACATTTTCAAACAAAAGAAGCAACCTGATTCTATGATCTTATTAAAGATCACTTACCAATAACGGGATCTCATGGAAAAACAATAACGTTCAAACGGGGTAGAAAGTCGATTTATAATGGAAATGTTAGCGACAATGATAGTAGCAGTTCAACTTCCAAACATTTTCTATAGGGTTTTGGTCTGGAGACATTGATGGCCAAGAAAGTACCTCAATGCCATTTTCTTTCTTCCATTTATTCGCGATTTTCGATCGATGCTTTGGATCATTATCTTCTTGCAAGATCCAATCTATGTTACCTTCACCAAAAAGTTTAGAGGTGGAATCAACCTCTTCGTTGTCACCTACATCAGAATATAATGGAACCAGTATCAGCATTGAAGACTATAGCGTTAATAATAACACACAGAACAAAGATAGAAAAGCATTACGAAATTAATAAGACATAGTGATAACATTTCGTCGGGTAAGCTGATATCACATTATTAAGAGGCTATTCCTTTATATTTACCGAGAATTGGCTGATTTATATATATTTTTGTAGAAATATATGAAATCGATACTAACGATAAAGAATTACAGGAATGTATAACTAAAATAGTAAGCAAAAGTAAGTTTCTTAACGAAATCGAGGAATCAGTTTCGGTGGAATAAAGTTTCTATCATTAATTTATACTTTTTCTAAATATAAATAATAGCTTTGAAGCGGAAGTCGAATGATCAAATTATAATTGAAGAAACTCAAGCCAAGAAACTCCCTAGCAACGTTAAAATGTGGTCTCCAGACCATGTTAAAAAATTTCTTGAGTCTCGTATGAATAATTTAGATTTCAATGAAATCGACGTTAAAAAGATCCGAGATAAAGAACTAACTGGTAGAGCTTTTCTTCGTCTTACTGAGGAAAAGTTAACTCGCAAAGTTGGCCTTTACGAACTGAACCAAGTCCCTGCTGAAGGAATCATGGAACTAGTTGAAGAACTTAACAAAACTTAGGTAATTAATCAGGGATTATATCAAAGAAAAGTCTTCATTACTTTATACTTATTCGTATTAATTCTCCCATTTAAGTGAAAGATAAAATCATTGAAGTTGAGACGCCACCAAATTTAGAATAAAATAAGAAAGCTAAATTAGATATATTCTACAACATACAGCATCCGAATAATGTAATATGGGAGTGTTTCTAGGAAAATCAGGTTCCGAGAAATTTTTGACTAAAATTAAGAGCTTAATACATTTTAATCTAATAACATCAAAAACTAAAATGCAATAAAAATCTCAATTTTGCTAAAAAATTCCCGGAACCTGATTTTCCTAGCAATCAACCCATATGTAGTTTGTTTTTGATATTTCTATGTAATTTTTAACCAATGTCTGAATATGTGCATCGAAATAATAAAAAAATGCAATTGAATTTTTCAAAAAACGCCAATACCATCAATATTACATTCATCAACTGTGGTGGCGCAGATGTTCAGGAACCCAGTCACATGATTTTGGTGAACAATGTTCGCAGTGAAAACTTCAGGTTATGAGTTACGCAGAATTTTACTAACCCTGTCGTTAATTACAGCGTTCGTTAGCCCGAAAACAAAACGAAGAGCTTCAAGGTAGACCGTAAACATCTGAACACGCGACTCTTGAAAGCCCCAAAAATTCCACACATGGAATGTCCCCGACGCCAGCATATAATTAATTAATTTCCTCGATTTTAATTTCATACCTAACCTATTAATTAAGACGACCCAAACATAAAAGGTAATAAATGATAATCATCCAATCCCCAAACTCCGTGAGATATATATCTTTTTTAAACCAAAAGAAAAAAAAATTAATATTTAAAATAATATTTTTATTTTTGAAAATATGATAGAAAGCTTAAAAAGTAATATTTACATTT